TGCTGGGTATTGGTCTGTTTCGCTAAATATTCCTTGACGTTATAGGAAGTTTGCTTCCAGCACTAGAGACTTCATATCCTGTTCCCCATCGATATCATTGGCAGTCTGTAAATACCCTTTTCCCAATCCTGTAAGGTCGAAAAAGATTCCCATACCTCCAGAAGAGTCAAAATGCCTTTTGTGGTCAGAGTTTAGTAGTTCAGTGTACAAAAGCACATATTTGAAAATTTAAACTAACTAATCGAGCAAAGATTCTTGTAAATTTTTTGTATCACTTTTTGTCTTTATAATACCTTTACAGCCGCATCTGCCTAATATTTCACTGTTTTATATAACCAATTAAAATATTTTGAAACGCTAACTCTATCGGTCACCTGCTTAGTTTGCCCTTCAACTTTTTAGGCGTTTAAAATACCAACAAAGCAGCTGCAAAGCAGGCCAAACCCAATTCGACTTGCAGTCCGCCGTCTCACAAAACAAATGAGCAAGCGACCGACTGACCCAAACGATCGTCGGCTTGCGCACAACAAACGAGGAATGTAGAGCACAAGTAGTAATTAGCGCACTCACACCCTCTAAGCGGTTCAAGCCGAAAAAGGGAATTTGAAAATTGCCGCTCTGGCGCACGATCAGCAGCAGGATTGTTAGGAAGGCATGTTATTATATGGTAAAATACAAAATTAAATTTGTTTAAACTACGTCCTTGTTAATTTACTTTATTTCTCTCTTCTTTTTGTTTTTGCTGCGTTCAGTCGTTAGTGTTTTGAAAATTTCTTGCTTCGCTAAAGAACACCCTATAATTAGGGCGTTGCCGATAGAGTGTCTGCCCGTAAGGCTGGCGTCTGTGCAAGCGCCGAATTTTAATTAAGGTCAACTGATATTATGTGTGGTATGACATAGGAATCTTGTTAGCGTCTCGTTTGTTTCCAGTGTTGAAAACAGCGTCTTCTCCGTTTTTGCACGCATTGATAGGCCTTGTTTTGGCTAACAAGGTGCGAAAAGGCGATTAGGCAGTTAACAATTTCACTTGAATCTACTTTATTAATAGTTTCGTTCGCCAGTTTGAGTGTGAGCAGTTGCTAATTTTTAATTTATATGCCACATATTGGTCGCAAATTATTTTCAAAGCAGCTGCTGGCGACCGACTAGTGCGAATTTTAACACCAAACGTTCTGTTGCCAATTTGTTGATGATGAAAGAGGGCGAGACTGCTGCTGATTTTGGGAGAATGGAGAACTAATGATATTTTAAGATATTAAAATGAAAATGGCATTCTAGAAAAGCTGAAATGTTTGTCAAGACAAATCTAATATGAGTTTTTGACATACACAAAACTGATATTAGCCGTCTTAACAACTTTGTGATAGGTTCGAAGCGCTTTGCTCTGTTGTGGCGGTCTTTTGATGCAAAACGGATCGGCATTCGGAGCTGTACAAGTGAGTTCCTTCCTAAGATCCGAGCTTTTTATCTACCTTAACGTAAACTGACTACCTCAAAGTGCCTAAAAGCTGCCCAACCCTACCTACTGTTTGTTCTCGACTGTATGTTGCATGGAGATAATTGTAGCGATGCCGAAATCATTGTTGAACCTAAACTCTCAGCATCTACCCAAGAACTTTCAGTTCTCACATTTTCCATTAAATTTGTTCTTCTCAAGCTCCATTTGCAGTGCTTCCCTTGAGTGCTTAACCACTTTGTAATAACCTCATTTCCAACTCCAAGCAGTAATAAATCAATTGTGAATAAACACTTCAAAATATGCAGCGCTCTTCAGCTCATTTGGCGAAGCATAATCAAACTACTCGATAAGTGCACTTCAATTAGAGTTCAAGTACTTTAGCAGACTTATTGTGGAACTTGTGGAACTTATGCATTTACCCTACCGGCAAACTGCTGACCGACAGCAAAAAAGCACAATACACAAAAGCAATAAAAACAACGAGCCATAACTACTTACTAAAATTTCGCAATAAAACTATATAAATATAAATAAACGCACAACTTATTGCTCGGCTGCAGCTGTGTTTAATTATTTTCAACTTTGGCGCACATAACTGTTATCGGCAAATCAACGTGAGTGCGCAGAAGGTGGTTCCGATTGCATAACTGCCACTGCCAGCCGATAAATGGAGACAGCGCCAATGTGAATTCCAAAGGAATCTTGTAGACATTTAACGAGTTGTGCGGAGTAAATGCTTTGTTCGTGTGCAAAATTTAGGCAGCGGAAGTTTTTACGAGTTCCCACGCCAGTTTGTTTATTTCTTAATTGCACAGTTACTCTGGTGGGGGTAACTTCTGTTTTGGGGGGGGAACGATAAATTCGCAAAACTAATGAAAAGCTATTAAAGTGAGTGCTGGCGAGTGTTAGAGACTTGAAAGTGTTAAGCTTCTAGCTAATAAATTTTTGAGAAACACTTTCTAATATGCGAAAATAGTATTTGAAGTGCCATAAGTCCTTCAAGTGAGCTGCCATAGATTGGTAGAATAGAATAGCATACAAAATAATCAAAAGCATCTAATTATTTTACCATTTCGCGGCAGTAAATCTACTGCTACCTCAATGGCTGCAACTTTGACTTGGAAAACCCAGCAAGAGGCAGGAAGTCTGAAGCTAGAGTTAACAGCGAGCTTCTGACAGTAAACCCCTCCACCAAAAACATCAAGCTTTCACCCATCTATAAAGCAGCCTACTGCCCCTTTCTTCCGATTACTTCTTGCCGCCCACAACTCCCTCGTCGATATATGGGTAGAGAAGAAGCCGCCAGAGTTCGGTTTGGCGACTGCATGATGCAAGTGCTCCATTATCAAGTCAAAGTGTGTGGGGGTTTGCAAGTTTTCAGACACGTGCTCGTTTAGGCATCCGGATTATCTGAGTCTGATAGCAATTTTAGCAACCGTACACCTTCCGACGACGTCTGCGGGCACTATGTGCAGTTGACGTTAAGTCCCATGGTTGGATTGGAGAATTTTTGTGCATCACACATGCTGATGAGCACCGCCCGTTGAACTATTTAACACCAATTTGTTTTTAGTGTTTAACAAAATTAAATCAAATTTTGAGAATAGCGATGCTAGAGATAATTTTGTCGCGTTCGTTTCACCACCTCTATGATTGCCATGGCTGAGCTTCACTCGATAGTCAACAAATCAATAGAGAAAGCCACAAGCCGGTAATCAAGTTCAGTGAAATTGAAGAGACACCTCATTAAAGTAATATTATTATAATATAGCTCTATAACTTAAACTAGTTGCTTGCTCGTTTCGTTAAACTCTAAGCTTCTGTGAATCGAAGTCATCCCAAGAATTCCAAAGAAATTTAGATGAGAAGAAGAAACAAACACAGTCGCAGAGCTGAGAGAGAGGTATATAAAAATAGAAAATAGCTTAAACTAAAGAAAAGGAAGTGATATAGTCATACGAGATTCTGTATTCATTCTTCAGAAAATGTCGGTATATTTTTAGATTTTATATAACTTTCTTAAAGATAAAAACTGTCTCAAACGAAACAACTGTTTCTTCAATTAAGAAATCCAAAATAAATTGTATTTATATATCTTGAAATGACAAAGCATTATTTTCCCATAGCTTGACTTTTTCTTTTCAAAACCATAAATACCACGAGGCTGGCTTTTCTGTCTCCAAAAAATATGGAGCAGAACCAAACTATATATTAGGGAACCTTTAGATAGCCTTTCTCTGAGCTTTTACGGATTTTAGTTTGAAAGTCGCTGAAAGGAAGTGTAGTTTGAAAGACACTTGATCCATACAGAATTGTCTTAAATACAGCATTTCGAAAATCTCAGCTTGACAGTTGCTGTTCGACCACTAGTGGGGGGTTGAGTGGGGTCATAGAGCTTTCCTTTCTAATTTGTGCCACCAAGCATTTTAACTTGATCTTGGAACAAAGTTCGAAGTTCAACTTTTACGAACAATCTATACAGAACGCAATAAAATTTCATAGAATTCTTGAAGCAGAGGATTCTTCTGCTGGTATGTACTTTTATTCTTGTATACTTGTTTCAAAGCAAGCCAAGCCTAGTTCCGAGTACGCTACGCACAAAAATCTACAAACTCACCAGCGAAATATATTTTGACATTTGGACAGCAAAAAGCAGCAACGCTTAATCTCATATTCCCTAATGTCCACGTAATCTGTGCAAAAGACACACAAAACAATTAGTGAACACTAATTCACTTTCGTGCTCTCCTTTACGCTTTGTTCGGCGTTCGACAAAGTTCTTTGTTGCTGTGGCCCCTACCAAACGCGCAGCAGCATATCGAATTCAACTTTTTGATTGGAAAAGTGATGCGCACACACACAATCACATTATACCTACGTAAGTATACAAAAGTACGTGCGAACACGCGAAAACTTTTTTTTAATAAAAACAGGAAAAAAGTTATGGAGGCAGCGAATTAGGCAAGCACTAAGCAAGTGACGCCAAAACATATACATACATATACAGTGGATATATAGTGAGACAGGCAAGTATTCACTCTTTAACTACAACGCGTTGAACTTAGCTCAATAACACCAGCGCATAAAAATAAAAATGTAGTCAGTACAAATACACACACGCTATGCACACATCCATGCACACGCCATACGCTTCGTCTAAACAAAAGTTGCTAATCACATTTCCAACAAATTACGGTGCAAAACTCAACTGAAATGGTCAGCGCATAGCTTAGTCCGTTGGCGGAGACTTTTGTTGCCAACACGCACAACTTTGACGCCATTGAGGCAGGTGTGCCTGTATTGGTATTGGATTTTTTCCATAATTCCCTTCTACGCTTTTCCTACTCACTTCTCGCATTTCCTACTCACTTTCTACGCTTTCACCGTTAGCCAGCTTCCGGCGCACAGCTGTGTCAGGTGTCTTTGTAGTATGTGTGTGTGTGTGTGTGTTTGTGCTACGCGCCACTTCGTAAGTTGGTAATAAAAAAGCGTGAAAAAGAAAAGTTAACTGTGATTTCTTCACTTTTAGTGTTTTACTTACCTTTTTCATTGCGCTTTTTCCGCATTCGCCATTCTTTGCTGTGCGCACTTTTCCCACCTGCAAGACAAGGAAATTGAATCAATTAATTAATTTGGAAATTCATGTAGTACTAAGAGGTGGGCAAGTGACAGGTTGCACGTAAGTAAATGGTTGTGCAACAGTTGCTATTGAAGAAAGTTGCAAATGAAGGCAAAAAGTTGACAGCTACAGGGTGTGCTTGTTACTTACGAGCTGGAAATTTAATTATTTTTTAAGACAAATTAATGCATTGAGTTGGTGTGCGTGTCAAAGTCTGAAATAATATTTTTGAATAAATATTATATTTATTCTTCAATTAATACTTTATTGCAAGTCTTCATGTTATTCATCTACAAGCCTTCCTAGTTATTATAAGCGACCTAAATAGCACTTTTAGTCGTAAAAGCAAGTTTAAAGATCACGTGATCGCTTTTTCTTGATCTACATATGTAATATCATGACTCATATAGAATTTCTATGAACAATATTTATATATGGAAACATAGAAAGACCGCTCAAGGCCCCTGACTAGGCATATAAGAAGAAATTAATAGCGAAAAATTATTCCGTTTGTTCAGTTTATATGCTATAGTTTTCCGATATCGTACATTTTCACAAAAGAGCCAAGACGGGTACAGAATTTCACATCGAAATCTCGAAAACTGAAGCTCGTATATATAATGTGGTCTCCGACGTTTCCTTTTGGGGATTGCAAACATTGTGGCACATTTAATAAACGTTGGTCCTGGTATAGACTGAAGTAAATTTTTTTCATTATAAAAATGTATTTCATTTCCTTTTGTTCCGGCTTTTACATTCTATTTTTCATTGAATCTCCAGCAACTTATACCGATATGGCTTAATTTTACTTCGTATTATTCAAATTTGTTTCATTTCCATTTGTACCTTTGTTGTACCTTTTCATTTGTCATTACATTTCATTTCATTCATTTGAATATGGTTTTTATTTCAAATCATATTATTCATTTATGTTTCATTTCCATTCGTTTCATTGCTCTCATTTCGATATGGTTTGTTTTTGTTTCATTCCAATTCGTTCCACTTCATTCCTCATTTCATTTCATTTCAGTCATTTGAGTATTATTTTAATTTTAGCTCGTATTGTTTCAGTTTGTCTCATTTCCATTCGTTCCATTTCATTTCTCATTGCGTTTCATACCTCATTGAATTTCTATCAGCGTATCTTGATATGATATAATTTATTACGCATTATTTAAATTTGTTTCATTTCCATTCGTTCCATTTCATTTCTCATTGCGTTTCATAGCCCTAGTTTTAACTCAAATTATTCAAACTTGTCTCATTTCCTTTTGTTCTCGCTGTTCCATTTCGCTTCTCAAACGAATTTCTAGGAAGTCATATTGATATAGTGTTAGTATCATATCATATTAATAAAATTTGTTTCAATTTCTTTCATTCCTGATATTTAATGTTATTTCTCACTCTCTTTTTTTCAGTTTCTCCTATTAATACCGTTTGGTTTCACTTCCAAAGAATTTCATATACATTTACTGCGTACCCATTTCATTCTGTTTCGATTCCATGTCATTTCATGTTTTGATTCCATTTCATTTTATATTATTCCACAACATTTAACGCGTTTCTAGCAATTATCTACATAAACACATGTGCCTCCAACTTTAAATTTTACTCCATTACTAACTTATCGCCTAAGCCAGAGCCCAAAATGTTCAAAAACAAATATTTTTCGTGTAAAATTCCCAGCATATTTGCCACAAAGCTTGACCAAGCAAACACAACATGCAGCAGCAATTTTCCGACATTTTTCTATTTACTTACATATTTTACAACTTTATGCCACTTTATGCTTTGCTCCATAGCCAATAAGCCACAATCAAGTAAATATGCATAATGCCGCATGCCACATGCCATAAGCGCATTTGTGTTGCCAACTATTACCAACGAATGCAAGCTGAATTTCTTTGTTGCACACACACACACACACACACGCGCATGAAATTTGAAATTTTGCATACAATTGCAATAATCCTTAAAGGATGCACTCTAAGGATAATATGAAATTTACAATGACACCGTTGCAAAGGCAGGGCAATAAAAAATGCATAAGCGCAACGCTCCGACGAGGAAGCCAAAAAGTCAGAAATGCAAACCAGCCACTTACAGACGTGCAACGGCGCAAATACTAAGCCACACGCGTCGCCTGTGTGCAACATGCAACCAGTTGCATGCAATTGCATACTTTTGCCACTTGAAGGCGTCTGCGCTGCCGACAGCGGGCGTGCAGCGCTGCTGTTAAATGCTTCGGCGCGCAAGCAGCATTTCAACTCCATTTCAACTTTGCGCTGCAGCCACTTTTTATTGCACGTGCCGCATGCCATGCATGCCACACACACACACAGACGCCGGCACGACCGCAACACATTAGAAAATTGTTAGTCATATGTGCAGAGACACGTAAACGTAATAATTTTTCTTGTGGCTGCACAAAGGTGCTTATGCGGTTGCATGCCACAGTTGTTAGTAGCGGCAAGCAAAGACCAAACCCTTGCGTTGTGCTTTGCTTTTGTTTATATTCGCTTCTTTTTGTGTTAATTTTTCGGTTGCTTTTGCATGCCGTCTCTGTTCTGTGATCCGATGCAACATTATTGCCATTTACGCACTATGGCTTATGTGTGTGCGCGCTGGAAAGTATGCAAAGGAATGTGTGCATGCAGCTCAGTAACTGGGGACTTAGATTTTTAGAAGGGTTAGAACGCAGGAGTTTATAAAGGATCCACTGAAGTGATTTTACAGCCTCTTTCGTTTAAAGTAAAAAGGGTTGCCCATATAACTGAGTATTTAACGCCAAAAAGTTTACATGTGTTTACAGAATGGCTGTAGTAATACCCGTACTTCGATTAAAATCGGAAACTATCGTAACTAGACCAATAAATACCAAAGGCCTCGAGTCATCAAAAAACGGGAGACTTATCCAGCGAACCGAAAAATTCAAGGGAGCAATAATGAGAGCATTTATGTACCTTTGCTTGGCTCCTGATCCAGTTCTATCTCATATTGGATACTGAGATAATAATGGATACTGAGAAAATATCTGCTGCCAAAAAATTATGAGAGTCCCCGTGAAGTATTTATTTGTGACGTAAATCTCATTTCTCACGCGGTTTGTCGATATATCGGAAGGACACTAGCTAAGTCTCCCGACAATATTTCACCTCCGAAGGCTTATCTAACCTAACCATAAATAGAAACAGCATACACTTTAAGTTTAATTACTGCTCAATTTGAGTATGTATCGGTTATCTTCGAAATCCAATTATCACATTTACTGAATTATAAAAACATTCAGGAGCTTTGAATACTTTTACGAGGAAACTTTGGGGCATTAGAATACAACGTCTCAATAGAGGAATGGCTTAAGTGCGATTTTCCAGAAATAAACAGCAACAGCGCTACCTATGAACTTTACAAAGCAACTGATAATGTTGTGATGTAGTTCAGCCAAGTTTCGAACCCATCGCTATAACGATATATGTACGAAAGAGAGGAATCTATGAAAGATCGAAACATTTTTATATTATATAAAATTTATAAAAACCGTGAATTCTTTTTTTCAATTATCTTTTTAAAATATTAGAGGTTTTCAATTATATTTTAGTCTTCCAAGACTCTGTAGCCGCTTTTAAGAAATATATTAGATGTATGAAAGAAAAATAATGATACAAAATATAGAAAGTTTTATATATAATATTATTACATTATAATTTCTTAATTTTTGCAGTTTTGGTAATAATTTGAACACACAAATTGTCTCTAGTTGCTTTCTTGATCGCTGGTAGATATCTTTGCTAATATCTAACAAAGGTGTGCGTCGCAAATGCGGTTTTCCTCAATTAATCTGCCACAGCGCCATCTATGGACTTCAGAGCTCAGCAAATTCGTTTGTGATCTAGCTCATCCAACTTTCGAACCATTTTCAATAACGAGGACATTTCTGTCGTATGTCTATGGCAATGAAGATTCCGTGCTTTTGAGACGAAAATCTAATACATTTTTATAAGAAACTTATCAACAAAACTAAATCTTCTCTAAAATATTTTTTAAACATTTTATGTATCCGGAATTATACTTAAATCTTTCAATACACCGCAACCGCTTGCAAAATATTTGCAAAAAACACTCAAAAGCCGAGAAAAACCATAAATGTATATATAAAAGGTAATTTTGAAAGTAAGACATATTTTTTTGTAAAAAATCTTTTTTTTTTTAACTCTGTTTGCTTTATTAAAAGTTCATACACTGAAAGCAGCGGTCTTCTAACTTTTCAATACCCTTTATGTACTACAGTTTGAGCTTTACTTCAAAATAGGCCTCAGTTTCGGCGATAGTGGATAGAAAATAGTCGGTGGGAGACACATCTCGATAATAATATGGCAAATTCGAAAGCAGTTCATGGATTTTTGCCATCATTTCACTGACTTCCACACTGTACTTTGTCTTGGTGGAACATTACTTTCGTTTCTTTAGTAGCGCCGCATAGTTGTCACAACGGGGACTTTTACTTTGATCCGTTACAAGTTTATATTGTTTAAAAATAGTGTTTCTTTCTTAAAATTTCCATTTATCCACTCTTGTGTGTGTTTTAACAAAACGGCAGTCAGCATATGTCCTTGTAACCACAAACTTTCCAAGCCAAATTTATTTGTGTGTGTGTTTTTCCAAGAGGATGAGCAACCACAGGAATTTTACATGTCATTGCCTGCTGACGGCATCAGCAATAAACAACGACAAAACAACTTTATAACCGACGAGCACAACTTGGATATTATCTCAACTATTATCGCATGGCCGATTTCTCTGTACGCAAAGCACAATTAACAGCCATTTATCTGCATAAAAAATTACAGGAAAAAGCTCGTAAAAGCCACAAAACAAATGTGAAGCACAAACAAAAGCGTAAGAAGCAGAAGATCTACACAAAATCTCGATGAGCCGATAATAAACTGAAGCGACAGCAGGCAGTGAAGACTGAGTGGCTG